TATATATATATATATATATATATATATAATTTATATATTTATATATACATACGACAGAAATATATATGACAGAAATGTATTTTTTCTTTTAATATATTGATGTCTGTTTTTTTAGTCGATGACAGAAAAGTGATGTCACTTCTTTACAATTATTTTCTACTGTTGTATAAGTTTATTAATTGACGTCGTTCGTTTTTATTGTTTTTTTCTTTTTCCTAATGCAACAAGAAGGTGATTAGGTGGTGCTCTGTACAGCAAATAGATTCCGAAGATTCGACGGCTAAGTTTTGTTTATGATATTGTCTGGATGTGAATTTAGTTAGGATATATTTCTGTACATATTGCAAGGGATATGGGAGAAAAAACGAAATGAATGGTACGTGTGTGAGTGCCAGATTCAATGTATACTCTGCGAAGCGATGAATTTGTTTCCATTGTAGGTACAAATGCGGAATAGTTGGCGTTGGCATTTTTCGTTTAAGAAAACGCCTCTATTTCGGCATCTTTGGAAAGAACACTTCGCAGTTTTCAAAGCCTAGATTCGTCCTAGATTTGATTGCGATGTATTGAAATCGTGTAGTCACATATATGCTCGCGTATTAAAAATATGTATATGTATATATATATAAACTATAATCACTCATTAAATATAGCTTCGGTATATAAGGTACGCAAGTACAGAAAATAAAACAAAGATCAAGAGCCCTTTCCTCAGCCGCAATTGCTGCCTATTCATTTGCTGTAACTTTATTATTTTGTTTATTCCCTGATGTATGTGCGATTATATAGTGCGATAAGTATAGTTTTGCTGCATTTTCCAAGTAATCGGTAATAAGCATGCGGCACGTGTTTCCGCGGGACTTTTTTAAATTTATCATTATCGTCAGAGAGAAAGCATTAAGAAATTTTATGTGACTTTTGCGAGAGTCATCAGTATTTTCGCGTTCAGTTATCGATTTCAATGGAAAGTCAATCGCGATACTTTTCACTTATCGAATATCGATCGTTGATAGGCTGTATCACTTTATGAAAGTAGAGAGAAAAAACTGTTAGATAACGATAGAACCCGGAGAAAAGGACATGATGTCTACCTTAATTCTTAACATTCAAAGTGCGTCCATTCTATGTATATTTTGTGATTTTATATCCATGAACAAGTATTGTAGATAATTAATTTCGCGACTCATTATACGTTTAATTATTATTATTATTAATATTGAAAAAATATAGCTACTAAACCAACATAACATGGTCTTTGACACTAATGTGCAAATCCAATTATCCATCTATTACTCCTCAATATCATTTTGAATAGAATGGAAATGAGTTAGAAAGAAAAACAAAGAAGAATTGTGTTTCTTAAAGTATATTATAACATTTCGCGGACAATTGACTAGATCAGAAATACAGAGCAATACATTCTGATACTTGTTGTGCATATACACAGAGCTACA